CGTGAATAAATAAATAAAATCTTTTAAAAAAAATCCTATTTTCTTATTGAAACATTATAAAATTGGATATTGAAGATGTGTCCCTCCTCTCCAAGAGAAAAAAACACCCCAACTTTCCTAATAGTCTGAAGTGAAAGCTTTTGGTGAAGAGAAAGAGGAGTAATAGTAGTACTAACAATAGCAAACACTTATATAGTACTTACTATATATGCCAAACACTGTTCTAAATATGTGTTAGCTATTATTACTGTAATATACAAATCTGGACCTCAAAGGACAGATATGACCTAGAGATAAAAATGTGTGAGTCATCTGCATGTGGGTGGTATTTGAAGTCATGGGCATAATTGAAAATGTCTAGAAGAGTTATATATAAGAAGAGAGCAAGACTAGGGCTACATCCTGAGGAACTTCATCACTTGATGGCCAGGTAGAAAACGAAGAGCCGGCAAAGGAGACTGAAAGGAATGGCCAGAGAAGTAGGAGGACAGCCGAGAGGAGCCGTGGGTCATAGAAGCCAATGTATTAAATGTTATTTCAAGGAAGAAACTATCATGAGTGTCAATTTTTGCTTGTGAGATCAAGTAAGACAAGGACTAAAAAGTACCCATTGGATTTAGTGACTTGATGGCCCAAAGTGACCTTATCACTACAGACTGAGTGGGTTGGAAGTCAAATTAAAGTGTGTTTTGAAGGGAATAAGAAGGTGGAAATAGAAAATGAATAGTTATTTCAAGAAGTTCACTTATAAAGGAGAGAGAGGAGTTAAGTAGCAGTTGGAAAGGGTTATGTAGTCAAGGGAAATTGTTTTTGTAAAATCGGAGACTTGAGCATGTTTAAATGTCAATGAAAATATCCAATGAGAGGGAAAGGTTGAATAAACAGGAGAGAGAAAGGATAATTAATAGTATAAAGTTCCTGGGAAGGTGTGAGGGAACAGGATACAAAGTACAATGGGAAGAAATAAGAAGTGTAAAGGAGGTAAGGAGAGGATTTGTGCTAATGTGAATAGATATGTACATTTGATGGTGGGAAGTAGGGAAGTAAATGAGATAACACATGCAAAGCACTTAGCATAGTGTCTGGCATGTTAGTTTGTATGAGAAACAGTAGCTATGGTTATTGTTGTTGTTATTATTATTAATGTTATGCACCTGCTTGAAACTTTCTTACATTTTAGGCTTTGGACTATGTAAAATAAGTACATTACGTTATTAATTCTATAAACTTGAAATTTTATAGATCAAGTTTATATACAACAAGGGTTACTTTAACTTTTTGATTCCTCACCTTCATCCTCTCCAGGAAATCTGAGTAGTTGCTGGTCCCCTGATTTTGATAAGATAGAAAAAAGTTGTACATTTAAGATTAGTGCACTTTCTGCACTTTTCTATATGCATTCTACACCTCTAAATTTTTTTAATGTCCATCAAAGCCCCTATTGATGTCAACTCACCTGTAGAAAAATGACATTAAAAGTAGACCGCTGCCAGGGTTTGAAAGGATCTGAAAGGTTCAGGTCAAGGGGAAAACTTATTTGTACTTCAAATCCATATAACGAGAGCAGAGAAATGAGCCAGAAATGCTGAATTTCCTGGAAGTCCAGGAAGCCCCTTTAACTCTGATCAAACTTCTCTGTGAGGTTGAGATGCATTCCCTGGATGCATTCTCCAATATCCCCTAATCTTGCGTCAATCTCCAAATCCTCAGCCATGCTGTCCTGTGACCCCTTACCTTTGCTGCCCATGTCCGTTCTCCCACCTCCATCTTACTTCTAGCTCCCAATGAGACCTTATGTTCCTTGAATCTGAACTGAGAGAAAAGAGTGCTATGAAAAGAATTTGATGGGGTGCCTGGGTGGCTCAGTCATTAAGCGTCTGCCTTCGGCTCGGGTCATGATCCCAGGGTCCTGGGATCGAGCCCCGCATCAGGCTCCCTGCTCAGTGGGAAGCCTGCTTCTCCCTCTCCCACTCCCCCTGCTTGTGTTCCCTCTCTCACTGTGTCTCTCTCTGTCAAATAAATAAATAAAATCTTAAAAAAAAAAAAAAGAATTTGAGATCATTTTGAGGGCTTGGTGAAGCTTCCTAGTGTGAAGTTTCTTAGAGTTTGAATCTCCCAGATTCCTGGTCACCCTGTTGAGGGAGTAAATCTAATTCAAAGGAGACTCAAGAAAGAAATAATCACTCCTCTGATTAAGAATCTACATTTTAGGGGCACCTGGGTGGCTCAGTTGTTAAGCGTCTGCCTTTGGCTCAGGTCATGATCCCAGGGTCCTGGGATCCAGCCCCGCATAGGGCTCCCTGCTCCGCGGGAAGCTTGCTTCTCCCTCTCCCACTCCCCCTGCTTGTGTTCCCTCTCTCGCTGTGTCTCTCTCTGTCAAATAAAATCTTAAAAAAAAAAAAAAAAAGAATCTACATTTTAGGGGCACCAGGGTAGCTCATTTAAACGTCTGCCTTGGGGCGCCTGGGTGGCTCAGTTGTTAAGCGTCTGCCTTTGGCTCAGGTCATGGTCCCAGGGTCCTGGGATCGAGCCCCGCATCGGGCTCCCTGCTCGGCGGGAGGCCTGCTTCTCCCTCTCCCACTCCTCCTGCTTGTGTTCCCTCTCTCGCTGTGTCTCTCTCTGTCAAATAAATAAATAAAATCTTTAAAAAAATAAAATAAAATAAAATAAACGTCTGCCTTTAGCTCAGGTCATGATCCCAGGGTCCTGGGATCGAGCCCTGCATTAGGCTCCCTGCTAAGCTGGGAGTCTGCTTCTCCCTCTCTCTCTGTCCCTACCCCCTGCTCGTGCTATTGCTCAGGCTCACTCTTTCTCAAATGAGTAAATAAAAAATATTAAAAAAAAAGAATCTACATTTTTAAAAGGCCTATACTGCCTTTCTCTCTTTTTTACATTTTATTTTATTTAAAGATTTTATTTATTTACTTAACAGAGAGAGAGAGAGAGAGACACTGAGAGAGGGAACACAAGCAGGGGGAGTGGGAAAGGGAGAAGCAGGTTTCCCGCCAAGCAGGGATCCCGATGCGGGGCTTGATCCCAGGACCCTGGGATCATGACCCGAGCCGAAGGCAGTCGCTTAACCAACTGAGCCACCCAGGCGCCCCTTAAAATTTATTTTATTTAAATTCAATATAGTATGCTATGAGTTTCAGAGATAGAGTTTAATTCTAACTCTCTTTTAAATCATGTTCAAAATCCTTCATCTAGAATTTTAGCCTCCTCCCAATCTAGCTACACTCAACTAACTTTTTTGTTCCCTCCCTTAAACACATCCTCTGTCTGATATGTTAGCAGTGGTTCCAAACAGCAAAGGGACTAAGCTTGGAAAGAGTCTAAAGAGGAACATTTACTTTTTACTCTACATACTTCTGCACTGAGTATTTTACAGTGACAATGTATTACTTCTGGAATTTAAAATAAAACACAGAAAGTAAAATAAAACACCTTCCAGCCTCAGTTTGGCTCTCCCCACTCTTCCATACCCATCCAAATTTCTCATTCCAACAAATTTCCATTCAAAACGTGTCTCTTACCCCTTATATTTTTGGTCAATTGATTTTCAACTAGGGTGCTAAGACAATCCAATGGGGACAGAATAGCCTTCTCAACAAATGGTGCTGGGACAACTAGATACCCATATGCAAAAACATAAAGTTGGAATCCTACCTCATGCCACATATAAAAAATAACTCAAAATGGATCAAAGACCTAAATGTAAGAGTAAAACTATAAATCCCTTTGAAAACATAGGAGCGAATCTTCTTCATGACCTTGAATTAAGCAATGTTTTTTTTGGCTATGACATCAAAAATATAAGCAACCAAAGAAAAGATAAATTCTTCATATAAATAACTTCATAGAAGTTAAAAACTTTTGTGTACCAAAGGACACCATCAAGGAAGTAGAAAGACAAAACACGGAATGGGAGAAAATATTTCCAAGTCATATATCTGACAAGAGACTTGTCTCCAGAATATATTTAAAAAATTCGTACAACTCTGAGGCACCTGGGTGGCTCAGTCATTAAGCGTCTGCCTTCAGCTCAGGTCATGGTCCCAGGGTCCTGGGATCGAGCCCCGCATCGGGCTCCCTGCTCAGCGGAAAGCCTACTCCCTCTCCCACTCCCCCTGCTTGTGTTCCCTCTCTCGCTGTGTCTCTGTCAAATAAATAAATACAATCTTTAAAAAAAAATTCATACAACTCAATAAAAAGGCAAGCTAAGTTAACAAATGGGCAAAGGATTTGAATAGACATTTCTCCAAATAAGAACACAAATGGCCAATAAGCACATGAAAATATGCTCAACATCATTATCATTGGGGAAATGCAGTTAAAACCATAATGAAATTCCACTTCACACCCATAAAAAAAGGACAAATAACAAGTGTTATTGAGGATGTGGAGAAACTGGAACCCTTACACTGCTGATGGGAATGTAAAATGGTACAGCCTCTTTGGAAAACAGTCTGGCAGTTTCTTAAAAGGTTAAAGTTACCATTTGACCCAGAAATTATACTCCTAGGTATATATCCAAGAGAAGTGAAAACAAAAGTCCACATAAAAACTTGTATATAAATGTTCGTAGGAGCATTATTCAGAATAATGGAAACAACCCAAAGGTACCTCAATTGATGAAATAAACATAATGTGGTATATCCGCACAATGGAATATTATTCAGCCATAAAAGGAATGAGGTACTGATACACGTTACAACATGGAGGAACTGTGAAAACATATGCTAAGTGAAAGAAGCCTCTTACAAAAGCCCACATATTATATGATTCCAGTCATATGAAATATCCAGAACAGGTAAATCCATAGAGGCAGAAAGTACATTAGTGGTTGTCCACAGCTATGAGTTTTGGGGGGGGATACTGGTAGTGACTGCTAATGGGTATAGGGTTTCTTTTTGGAGTGATGAAAATTGATTGTGGTTGCACAACTCTGAGTATACTTAAAAAACACTGAATTTTACACTTTAAATGGGTGAATTGTATGATATGTGAATTGTATCCCAACAAAGCTGTTAAAAAATGTTCTTCCATGGAGCTTTCCCTTTCTACTATAGTCCACATTAATCACTCCACTCTCTCTCAACTCCTATAGCTCTTAATAACTGTACTGTACAATTTAACACTCAGTTAAGCTACCTGATAATGTTTATTATTATTTAATGTAGATTAGTCTGTCAGCCAGACTACAATTTTCCTGAGAGGAATAAATAAGTCTTCTGTTTCTCAGATAGCTCTAAACTGACTGATGAATCACTGGGGAAAAAAATAAATAAAAATAAAAAGTAAAAAAAAATAAAGTGTTATGGCTCTTCCTGAATATTAAAAAAAAAAAAAAGATAGCTCTAAACCACCTAACACACAACTGGGCACACAATAAGTACTCAGTAGATTACCTGGTGATTGTAAAGAACAGATTGAATGTACATGTGCTTGTTTTCACACACGTGTGTTAAAGACACACAGAAGCTGGGGGGAATGAAGACAATCTTACAGATAGTGAGGTGAGAGAACGACACTATGTGAAACTGCAGAATACAAGATTTATTTCAGGGAAAAAAACAGCATGGTTTGGACACTTTTGTTCTCCCCTCCTTCAGCCTGCTGCTGCTCAATGACACCACATGGCCAACCATATCCTGGTCTCTGAGATTCTAAGGGAACCACTGAGGTCCTATCTAGATACTTGACTGGTGTCACTATTCCCCCATTGCTTCCTCCTCTTCCTCCTCCTCTGTCCAGCTCAGATCATCATCTGAATCCTCAGATTCTTCCTCATCCATCTCTAACCCAACCCCTGCCTTAGCCTTCTCAGCTAGTGCATCAGGGTGCTCCAGCTGGGCCCAGGATCCTGGGTCAGCCTTGACCAAGGAGATTTCAACCCGAGATGGCATCAAGGAGACAGAGCTCTGCTCCACGTTTATGACCTGAGGAGGAGGAAAAGATAGAGGAACACAAGAAGAAGAAAATGAGGAAATCAAAGGGATTGGGGTCAGGGTGGGTGGTAATGAATGACAAAGAAAAATAAACAAATGTAAGGTGGGCAAAACAAGATAGGGGAGGAACAAAATGATATAGTAACAAAGAGAGAAAGAGGAAAGAAGGAGGAGAAGGAGGAGGGGAGAGAAAAAAGAGAAAGGGGGAGAAAGAATATCAAAGCAAATGAAGAGAAAACCTCCACTTTCCCACTATAATTCCTTCCCTCAAGACACCCTCTATTCATTCCAGTCTGGTCCTTCTTTTTACCCCATCTTCCTCCCCCTCCTGTGCCCCTTATCTTCACTTACCCCCCAGAGCTTCATCTGTGCCTGGAACACACGGTTACCATCAAAGACAATGTGGATATGGAGCTGAGAAAAAAGAATTACAGGGGTAGTAACAATCCTAGAAGGTCAGAACAAGCTATTACAACAGAGAACCAGGCCAGAGGTGTGAGCCCTATATCTACAGGTCAGCCAGATAGTCCTGACCTACTAGCTCTTCCTCTCAGGGGACTATGGAGCCCACATGTTTGCTGCATACAGCAACTCTGCCTGTAAAATTGTAGTATTACCCAATTCACCAGCCTCCCAACCAGCATCAGACATTCCTCACCTCAGTTTGACTGGCCTTCACCCAGTTGAACGCAGGAAGTGGAATCTGGCCATATACAGTCACCACTACTAAGGAATCTGTCTGGTGCCAATCATGACGGCAAGACGCTGGCAGCTAAAGAGAGGATGTGAAATGTGTGTGGTAAGAATGAACTCTTCACCCAAGGGAAGTTCTCAGGTGTGTCTAGAGAAGAGACACAGAATCTCAGAAAGATTAATACTACTTCATATGGCAAAGCCTCCAGGCTGTTGAGGATAAGCAGAATCTTATTTGGTCTGTACAAAAGGGAGGAGATAGAGAGCTTGGCCATGAGGTACATGGAGGGGTAATTATTTCTGGAATTGGGTTCTAATTAAAAGTTCAAGAAAGCTGGGCTTACCTGCTTCCCCCAGTCATGCCTACCAACTCTGCATCCTGGCTGTGCCAGGAATGCCCCAAAATCCAGGGTCTGGATGCCACAACAGCTCCAAGACTTCATCCTGAGGTAGGAGGATAATTCAACTGAATCTCCTTTCCCCTCCCCATGAGCTTCCACTCCCATATTATGATCAACAGTGGGAGAAACTGGCCTTATAGACCCTACCCAGTCCCCTCTCTCACCCCTCATGGAATCGAGGTGCTCCTGGGTGGTAGGTACATGGAGTAGCATCACTCTCAGGGCCTTGGTAAACCTAAGATGGGTAAAGGAGAATCAGAAGAATCAGGTCATTCTAAAGTATACCCCACATAGCCTCATATCTATACCGTCATCCCAGGTATAGCATCTCTCAGCCACATGCTTGTACCCCTTATAAGCTCTCACTCACAGCATCACATCCTGGATTCTGGCAGCTGGAACCAGTCCGGATCAGACTACTGTCAAGTCCTGAGCAAAGGAAACAGAGTCAGGAATCTATCTATTCCCTCCACCTAATTGCCACTTTCACTAAATTCCAGTCTGCAAAGCCTGTCCTACTAAGGACCCACTTACCTGCTCCAGGTTCCTGGTCTAATTCCTTCTGTTCCAATGCCATTTCCAGGGCTTGGGATATATTTAGTGGAAGCAGCTTTGGAGGCAACTCTGACCTAGGGGGTATGGGTGGGGTGATTTAGTTCTGACCCATTAACCATGATCATTAGCTCCAACACTCCCACCAGTTGTAATGGTGTCAGAGAAATCTGGTGAAAGTGGGGGCAGGGTTGGAAAAGTTGGGTAGCAACTCCATTGCCAATTATCTTCTTTGTGGACATCCCAAGTCCCTGAACCCTGGGGAAATCCCTAGGGCTTTTTTGCCCATCTATTCAGTTGCTCTCAATCTACATTTCTTTGCAGAACTGCATCATATCCTCGTCCTCTTCTAATTGTGGACCTAATGTGACTTTCTTCTGTTGCTCATGCTACTTCCACAAAATTAATTTATTCTCTACAGCCGTTTGGCTGTCAATACTGCATCTTTTTCTTGATGTAAAACTCATTTTAAAGCTTTTTTCCAAAGAGAAAAAAAAAATCAAGTCATTCTCAACAATCTCTCTTGTATTATAACTACGTATTTATGAGGGGCCATCTACTCTATTGACTTTAAATACCTATCCCATCACCCCCATACCAACCTTAAAGCAAAGACATTATTTCTGGATACAAATTTCCCCTAAGGTATAAAATATACACAAAACCCTGACACTTGGCCCTCCTCTTATCCCTAGTCCCCAAGCCCCAGTGACCCATTAATCACTTCTAGGAAGCTCCATGAATGTAGGAAAAACCCAGGGACTTCCTCCTCTTTACTTGGGCCTCTCCCGACGCAAAGTCTCTGCTGACTTTGGAATCGTATTCAGAGGTTTTTGCTCCTGAAGTGAACTGCTTGTGGCAGGCACCTCAGGTTGAGGAGCCTCAGGGAGCTTCTCAGCACAGTGTGGTCCCACAGTACAGCCCTAGTACAGATAAGGAAAGAAGGTTTAGGGATAGAATCCTTCTATTAGGGACAGAATCCAAGGAAGTAAATAATTTACCTTGATGTTTAAGAACTCAGAGAAATCTACAGTTCGCTTCCGGCAGCAGGACCAACCCTGATAACAAAAGACCCAGCTCAGCTTAGATTCCTGGCTATATTTCCTTTGGGAAATGCTCTTGCTATCCCCTCTTGCCTACTCCTCACCTTCAGTGCATCATGGAAGATTGGGACCCCAGGGTGATGGCAACAGGAATCTGTGGATACCAGCAGAAGGATCAAGGAAAGGCAACTATACCAAGTATCACTTCTCTTACGTCTTCCACAGATTTATATGCTCATGGTTTTTCTTTAGAACGTAAAAATAAGATTGAAGACCACCCAGACCAATTAAATTAGGTCAGATACACTAAATTTCTCTGCTCCTTTAACAGACTGCCCACAGCTGACCACTCCCCCAGCACTCACAAGAGCCCCCTGGCAAAATCAGAATTACTCACTCACCGGGAAGGTTGGCATTGGGGTCAAAGTGCTGCCCACAGCCTTTGTTATGGCAGAGTAGAGACATGGAGGACGTTGGTAGAATTACTGAAAGGGTATTTCAAGGAGTCTGGCTGCCGAGTGGGGAACACCTCTTAGTCTGGAGGCTTTTAGCTGTCTGCAAGGGCCAGCTGTTTCTATCTTTAGTTCAGGAGGCGTACACCTCCTAACATGGGCAAGGGAACTTCAACTGGTCTTCTCAACCAATAGGAGAGCGCTCAGGAGCATTTTAGCTCTGGGGCTCAAGAAAAAATGATCAGGCAGAGTAGGGCTTGGAACTTGGGTGAGGTCAGCTAACCACTGCTGAGACAGTTTTAGATTTACCAGGCCAATTCCAAGCCTCTGACATACCAGCAGCTGCTCAGAAATGAATCCCAATTTTGAGACCCCTCCCAGCTCAACGAAGGTACCCCAGTTCCTCCAACTCATTTTCTTCCTCTTTCAAAGCAGCAGCTTTCCTCTCATCCTCATTGCTTCTGTGTACCGCCAATAGCACCAATCTTTGTCAACCACAGAAGCCATAGTATGCATCCAACCTCCCCAAATTTGCCTAAATGGATGATTCAAACTTTTGAGCAAAAGGTAATAAAGGATTATACTTATCGAACCTATGCTTATCTCTTGAGACAGACCTCCCCTCCCTCCATTCCCTTTCAAAAACAGCACAGAAAATTAAAAGGCTTAAAATGTATTTTAATAAGTTGATGCTGTATTACTGCTCCATTTCTCAGAAAAACTCCAGATATCAGGGACAAATCAAACATGGTACACCAATAAAAAAAAATGCACAGCGTAACTACCTAAGATAGGCAAGGCTAAGAGCTACTGTCCGACCTTCAGCATACAGCAACCCTGTTCCCAAGATTGTACTAGGCCTATCAAGAAAAGCTGTGAACAGCAACATCATAGACACAAAAGGGCCGTTCCTGGGTTGTCCTAACCCAAGAAAAAAGATGGAGGCAACTTAACACAAGATTTTTTTTTAAAGATACACTAAAATGAAAATCTCTAAGAGAAAATGTCTTCCTTAGGACATGAAGGGCTAATATATGGGATATAACAGAACCGTATGTATGTTGTCTGTGACCTCTGTGGACATTGGCCTGAATTCCCACCTGCGAGTGAATGGAACAATGTGGCTAAGGTCATTGGGGGATGCTTGTTTTTGTGGTGTATGTGGCAGTGTCTCTGGGGTTGGAGGGTATAATGAGGAACCAAATAGAACAAGATGGACAAAGAATGGAATGATCAAGATTAATGGGGGCTCTAACTGGATCCATTTTGCCATGGTCCCCCCCCCCCCCCACAGGCCCTCAACAATCACATGAGACTTCAGGAATGCACCACACAAAATCAATTAGTTAAACGATATACCACACAGAACTGATTTGTTAAATATCGCCCCTCCCTTGCCCTCAGCCTCCAGCAAACTCCCTCAGAGTAGTACAGGCAAGGAAGACCTAACTATTGGGAGGAATCCCTAACACTTTTCCAGGGCAGAATTCTGGCTAGTCCAAAAAGGGTCCTTCTTTTAAGGGTTTTTGGGAAACTAGACATTGAAATTTTTATTAGTATCGGCGACGTTTGTTTGGAGCAAATTCAGCTCCAGGAGCTGCACGGTTGAATGCAGGAGGGGTTCCACCAATTGCCCCAATTCCTTCCATTGTAGCAGCTTGGCCAAAGCGTTCAGTTGTTGGTGGGGTCTTAAAGAGAAAAAGAGAGCAATGTTACAATAGAATCTATGTCCCAAGCTTCCCACCCATTTGTAATCCCGCCCCTGGAGGCCATTTCCACCTGACTATTCAAAGCTCTGATGTGCTAGGGGAGACTAAGCCTGTTTAGAACTATAGTGGATATCCCTGAAAAGAAGGCTGTCTGAATTACAGACCCACCCAACTATCCTACCTTTATCTTCTTATCCCAATTCCTACTGATTAAATAATATTACATAGTAAATTCCCAGACTAAGTTCCACCTAAGTCCCTTTCCCCAAACTAAGTATAGTGACAAGGACAAGCCATCACTCTTCAGCAACCTTAAGCGCACCCAGTTTTAAAATTTTGACACTAAACTGTAACTCAGGATTGTATGAGCAATCCTTTTGGATTCCTATCTATTTTATGTGATAATACCTAACCTTCATTGCCTTCCCTCCAAAAACAAACAAAAACCACCAAACCCCTGTTACCTCCATTAACTCAGGGTAGCAACCAAACAGACTGGCCAGTCAAAGGCATTTACTTAACTCCCAGACAAAGTCTAGTTTGAGATTGGGTTTGTTCAAGATTCAAAAATCAAGACCTTGAGGTTACATTTAATGGAAAACAGCGGCCCTAAAACCCGAGTATCTGTAGCAAAATTGTGGCAGGCACAGGGACTGAAAGCAAAGTCCTTTCTCCTATCACCCTTCAGAATTACTGTAAAGTTCTGCAGTTTATTACCAATCCCAAGGTTCCATCTGGCATCATAGTGGCAGGTCCTGGAGGAGCTGGGGTACCTGCTGGCACTGGAGCAGGGGGCATGGCGCCTCTGTTGTTGATGCCCATAGCACCTAAAGCAGAATAGTGTGATCAGTACAGGAGATAGAGACTGTCAGTTTCTCTCTGTGCAAGAGAAAACAATTCAACAAGACCTCTGAGCTAAGGACGTGTTACCCGCCCCCCCAAAAAAACGATGCTCCCAGAAATGTCAGCCCCTTAAATCTGGACTATGCCTGAGAAGCCACATAGTTCACCAGAAATGATACAAAAAAGGAAATCAGAGCCACTAACCTCCTAAGTTCTTACCTCCCATAGCCATCTGGCCCATCCGTATCTCCTGTTCTCTCTGAAAAATAAGAAATACTCAAAACAGTCCAAGATAGCACTGCATTCTACCATTCACAATACGTTGAGGACCACACACTAAGGGAAGCAAGTAGAGTGATAACACATTCCTCCCAAGCACACTGAGGCCAAGCTGAGGAAAACCAACATCTCCTTGCTAGGTGTGCAGTTGAGTCCAAGGTTAGGACAAGGATACAAGTCAGAGTCTCCTATTAGGAACAGAAGAGGTAAAAGGCAAGGGGAGAGATAGCTGACTTCTTCTAGGACCTTAATCTGTGCAACAACTCCAAGGACATCAGAGAACTAGTTAAGGATGCTATCGGACTGGATATATTTCATCATGCAGTCACTGAGTCCAAACAGTGTAACACTGGCCCTAGCTCTTCATCCTAAATTGCCTGTGAGGCAAGAACTCCCCTTCAAACCTTACCTTTTCTTCCTATGAATTCTTCTTTCTAAAAGGAGTTTTACAGAATATAAAAACTGGTCATAACCCGGTATGTTTTATAGTCCTAGTGGACAACTCATGGTGGGTTTCTCATATCGTGACTGGCCTGGTACATCATGGGCACATGGGAGATATACCGCATCAGGGAATGTTCCCTTGAATCCTTCCTGCTGTCGCCGCATCATTTCTTCCTGTTGCCGCCGCATCTCTTCCTCACGGCGCCTGCGTTCCTCCTCCTGCCTACAGAAGAGTCACCAAGGTATTTAGCAGGGACATTCCAGAACTTGAGCAGATTATCTTAAGAGGGGAGATCAAGAGCCTACTGGAAACTATCATAGCTCTGCAAGAAACTCACTGTTCAATGTGTCCAGCCCTAAAACAAGCCAAACGTGTCATTCAGGGGAAAAAAAGTTCTCCTTTCAGAAAGGAGCTTCATGACACCAGCACTCAGCTGCTTTCCCTTTAGTGCAGCCCTGGGTAATTCCTAGAGTCATGGGCAGCTGAAACATTTCCCATCCAAAGGGAGAACTTGAGAAGCATCCAGGAAATATTTACAAATGCATGAGGTAGCATGGTAGTAGGAAACAGGAGTGAGACATTACCTCTTAGAGTTGTCAGAGAAAAAGGGTTTGAGAGTTAGTTACCTGAGTTCCAGCTGCTTTCGTTTTTGCACTTCTTGGTTGTGCAGCTCTTCCATCCTCCGAAGTTCTTCTTGACGCCTCATCAAATCTAGAAAAACAGTAAACTGATTCAGAGTATTTTTCATTCTCCTCATATAGACTCAATAATTTTCCATAAATAAAGATCCAGAAAGCAAAGGGGATATATAATCCCTGCATGGCCATCTGAGCTATCCAGATTCCAAAAATGAAGTCAAACCTATTATTTCCTTCTCCACAGAATCCAGTATTCTCTGTCACATCTCCAAGCTCATTTGCCTACCAAGATCAACAAAATATTTCAGAGAATAAAAGCAGAGATTTAGGCTTTTCTCTACCAACTGATACAAAAAATTCCTGAAAAAAGTCATTTTGTTCTTGTTCTAGGTTTAAAACCTACAGGTCTACACTCACCCTGTCTCATTAGCATAACCTGGTGCTCATGGCGAGCAGCCTCCATCTCCATCTCCAGCTTCTCACGAGCTTCCTTGATGTTGCGGTCCACTTGGTCCTGCTGTTGCTTCTCCATCTCAATGAGTGCCTTCCAGCGCATGGCATACTCATACTCAAAGGAGCCAGGCTGTGCAAATCTGGGTGGCTGCTCTCGCTCCCTATAGACAAGGTTCCTGGGTTATTAAAACTTTGTCCAAGATTCCCCCAACTAAGCACTGCATTCCTCCTGAGGGCCAAGATCATGGCTGCCAGTGAATACCTATAGGAAAGACCTGCCTCTTTTACACATCCCTTTACAAGCTTCCTTAAGAATACACAAGCACCTAACAGGGAATCTGTCAGAACCACATACTTGTGAAATTGCTGGTTCTTTATAACCAGCTTCTCTGGAAGTCCCTCTTCATCATCCAACTGGTCCATGGGCTCCACAGTCACAGGCCGAGGAAATCTGGAAGAAAGAAGCTCAAATTATACCCTACACCAGGCTTCCTCCCTATACCTGCCACTGGCACAATAAAGTAGATAAGGATCAGGACTGGATAATTAAACATATTTCTGAAGGAATTTTTACACCCAGCCCCAAGTAACCAAGTTCTTTTAATGGCATTATGTGGAATCTGGGGTTGATAGGATGGCATGAGGCTTTAAATCTCAGAATAGAGCCTTAAAGATGTTCAAAGTAAGTAGACAGGATACTTAAGTGCAGTTTAAATACCCAATATCTGTAAAACTCCAGACAATGACTTGAAGTAAACAGAGAGGCTGCATGCACAAAACAACCTTTCAGAGTTCTAAGACTTCAAAGGGGAGATTTAACACTGATTAAATGACAGCCTACTAGAAGACTGAAAGGTTTATTTCTTAATCCTCATACTATTTCCATTAATTTAAGATGACACTGAGAACCCTACTAGAAAGCTGAATTAGTATCCAAAGTCTCTAGGTGAACACAAAAGCATGGTTCCTACAGGCTACCTTCCCACACCACCGAAGGAAGTAGCAATCTAAGGTCTATTACTAAAAGCAGTCCTTCACTTACGTGGTTAGCAGGAAGGAGCCTTCACTGCACCTGTCCAGAGCTTTCCGAGCAGCTGGCTTCCCTGAGAATTCAACAATGCCTTTTCCTGAGGGCCTTCCTCGATCATCCACAATGACTACAGCCCTTTCCACCTGGCCAAACACCGAAAAGGCTTCCTCCAGCAGTTCATTGGAAACATACTGAGGAAGGTTTCGGACTGTAAGGGATGCACTATGGCAGGCAAAGCGCACACGCAGCTGCTTTCCACGGAGTGGCATGTTGTCCAGTTCTACTTTGGCAATCTCCGCTAGGGTTCGTGTTTCCTAGAAGCAGAGGAAAGTTAGAATAACTCAAGTTTGACAATGACCACAGGCACAGCCATCAAGAGTCTAAAGTAGCATAGCCCAATATAAAATGTCTGCCCGCCCCAAAACCCTGACAACACACAAAGAAACCTTGATATCCTGAAAGAATCGAAATTACATGTTTCAGATAACTGTTGGATAGTCTAATTGCTCTGATAGTCTTGCAATAAATCAACTGGAAATTCTAGAAGTTAATACCACTTACATGGTCATCAGTATCATATAGGTTATTCTCCCAAGTGGTATAACAGATCATTGGGACAAGGACCAGCCCAAAACCTACCCTTACAATACATCAGCCAGAGTATTTTAATTTTAGCTAGCTACATACAAGTTTAATGAGAATCATGTATGCCCTCCATTGAGACCTCTTTAGAACCACAGACCCTAATGGGAACCCCCTCTCATATTACTAAAGAGGAACCTCAAACCCCAGAAAAAATGACTTGCCCATGTAATCTTGAGTTAGTGGTAGATCTGGAATGAAAACTAGTTCTGACCACCACATCTACTGACCTTGCTAACACCTTATATTCCTTGTTTATGTAGACGATGTCTAAAAAAGTTCCTCCCTCATATACTTAAACATGTTTCCTAATCAAATCTGTCTTTATAAAAAAGATCTACACTTAAAAATGGTTAAATAATAAATTTTATGTGTATTTTAGCACAACTTAAAATTTTTTTAAAAAAATAGATACAGGGGCGCCTGGGTGGCTCAGTCATTAAGCGTCTGCCTTCGGCTCAAGTCATGATCCCAGGGTCCTGGGATTGAGCCCCGCATCAGGCTCCCTGCTCCGCGGGAAGCCTGCTTCTCCCTGTCCCACTCTCCCTGCTTGTGTTCCCTCTCTTGCTGTGTCTCTCTCTGTCAAATAAATAAAATCTTTAAAAAAAAATAGATACGAATAAAACTGTCCCCTCATGGTTTTAAAAAGTCTTAAGTGAGAAAATACATAGGCAAGAACTTAGGAAATAAAGTATATGAACTTTAATCATTAGTTACTAAGATAAAATAATTTTGAGTTGATAATTATTGAAGCTGGGCATCGAGTATTTATAGGTTCATTATACTATTCTCTCTACCTCTGTATGTTTGAAATTTACCAATGAAAACAAAAGTTCCAAGGGGCATACTTTAGTCTCAGTGTCCTAGACAAATAAACCTATGTTGTCCTTGAAACAAAACAAAACCCTATAAGGAAAAATAAAAATAAAACCTGTTATCTTCTGTCCTGTTCTACCAACTACAACTATTAAATATTTAACAAACAGACCACCTGAGAATTATTTCCACTGCCGTATTTTCCATATCCATCATTTCCCGACTTCCCCACCTTTTAGAGCATATACTCTAAAAGCCCATGGTTGCTCACCAAGCGGATAAAGCCAAAGCCCTTATCCTTATGAATGAAGACTTCGCCTGCCTTCCCATATTTCTCAAATAGTTTCCTCATCTCCTCCTCAGTGATGTCAGGAGGAAGATTGCCCACAAAGAGCCGGCTACGTTGGGTGAAGGTCTTCTCTCCTGGTTTCCTAAAATTCTTCAGGTCAATAGTCAAGCCTTCATCTGAGAGAATACACACAGTCACTCAAAAGATTGGGCAAAGAGATCTACAGTCACATTTTCAAAGAGCTACAACTGCTGCTAGATTAGGAAACCTAACTGCTGTAGAGAAAAACACCATTTCCCAATACAATCTATCCACTAACTACTTATCAGTAAATTGCCCTTAAAATGTGAAAGCAGTATGCAGACATCTGGGAGTTCTTCTCAATAGCTCTACTATGGGCCAGGAGCCACCCGGACTAAGAGAAAGACAATACAGAAGCTATTGGTCAAAGAGAAAATTAAGCAAGTCAAGAAGACGTGTCAGAAGAGATCAGTTTTCTAAATGTGAAACATAGGGGTGCCTAGGTGGCTCAGTAGGTAAGTGTCTGCCTTTGGCTCAGGTCATGATCCCAGGGTCCTGGGATCAAGCCCTGCATTGGGCTTCCCTGCTCGGTGAGGAGACTCCTTCTCCCTCTCTTTCTGCCCCTCCCCCTTCTCGTGTGCTCTCTAATAAATAAAATCTTTAAAAAAATAAAACTGAAACATAATTGCTCCATTTTCCCAATCTCTCACCAATCTTCATAATCTTAACAGTTCCCATTCTTTCATGCTTGGGTTAATGGAATGAAAGGAAATGAGTTAGGAAACAGTATTCTTTGTAGGGATCTCTGGAAATAAAAGAGGGTTGAGGTTGGTTCTAGTTTTAGAGGCCCACAATAGGTGCTCAAAGTTTGCTGAATGAATGGAACATGCCTTTAAAGAATGTTTACTGTGATTAAAACGGATTGGCACAGACCCCAGGCTGAAAGTATAACACTCAGTACCAGACTTCTTTTCCCTTAAAGACTTGTTCTATATTTTCTAACTACCAGTCATCTGATGATTACCTCTAAGAACCAAGCTCTGAGGTAAAACACACAGACATCTGTTTAGCAGAATATGCCAACACAGCACAGCAACTTGTACTCATCTGCTACCCAACATGTCTGCTCCTTGTTTCAGTGAATCACCCTTTTTCTATCCTAAGATGTATTAAGAGGTAAATAGGGGAAAAAAGAGCAAAAGGTGTGCCACAGAGGCTTATTCCTTTATAAGCCCAAGAGATTAATCTAAAAACCAAGGAACCTTTCCCAGGAGGGAACCTATTCTTACCCCCGTACAAGCATGTACTCACTTTGGCTGCTGGCTTGTTGCCCATTTGCAGGTATTGGTGGCGGTGGTGGCTGCTGCTGTTGCTGCTGGTGGTGTTGCTGGTGGTGATGCTGATGATGCTTCCTTGGAGTATGGTTTTGCTTCTCCAGGTTAAAGGTTTTATTGCTCTGCATTTTTGTACCCTAAAAGGAAAATGTGGACTGTCAAATACATTCAGGGCTTATCAGTCACCTTCCTGATGATTTATATGTCACTAATCAGCTCTGATATCCTGGCTTTTGCCAGATTCAAATGACTGGTTACTGTGAACAAGTACGGCAAAGTTGTACCACTCAAAAACCTAAAAAGAACCAGACATTAGCAGTTATGTTGCACACAGAAACTAGACAAGTACTAAATGAGAACAACTTGCACAGAAGTAGCTTGAAGAAACTTTCCTTTCACTAATTCTATATATTAATTGGAAACTACTTTCCCCGAAGAAGCTACTCCCTAAAAATTGGCCCTATCATAATATTAAAACTTAACAAGGGAAATAGATTCTACTTATCACAAGGACAAGGACTATTAAATCTTGTTATCTGGCACTTTGCAGTCTTAACCTACAGTAGATATTGTGGAATGAACAGTAGAAAAAGTACAAGCTGTGGAGTTAGACATACTTAGATTTGAAGCATGGTCCTAGTACTTACTAGCTATGTACTACTTAGTAAATCACTTTTGCACAAATTTAAGCTGTTATAAAGGGAATAATAAAAATACCTACCTCTCAAGATGGCTATGAGGATTCATAAATATGTGAAAACACTAGCTCAGTACTGAAATATAGTAAGCATTCAGTAAATATGGTTATTAATCACAATAAAGATAAATGACTATCAAAGCAATGAGAACATCAAATAAAAAAGATGAATATACAATCATAATGTTAGATCTCATCTAAAAATCAACATAAGATTAAAAGAAAACAAAATGAAAATTCCTGGTACAATCCAGAGTGAATTCAAGAGCTGATGGCTTTAAAATGAAAATTTTCTTACTGCTTTCTTACTGGTTAACAAGCTGAGGACCATCGTCCTCATTTAAGGACAGTTCTCCAGTAATAAAAGGGCAAAGCCAACCCTAAATCATTTCCCCTAAACACAAGACCTTCTAGTCAGAATTTAGCTGAAGGAAAAATGCAGAGAAGGACCTTCTCATGAACATTTATTGTTAACATTATGATTCCTCTAAAATAAAGAAAACTGATTTCTCAAAGAAAATGTGACGACTTGATAACTACTGATTCTGGATGATGGGTATATAAGAATATTTATACAAGCTTCCCTGATACATTTCTTATCATATCCCTCCAAAACTAAAACAACATAATTATCAAATTCTATATCCAAACTGTTTCATAAAACAAGTAGTAACAAGAGCTATCAAAATGTTCATATTCTGTGACTCAGGAAACTCTACTCCTAGAAATTTACCCTAAGAATATAATTTTAGGGGCACCTGGGTAGCTCAATAGGTTAAGCATCTGACTCTTGATTTTGGCTCAGGTCATGATCTCAGGGTTCTGAGATCCAGCCCCATGTCAGGCTCTGCACTAGGTGTGGAGCCTATTTAGGATTTCTCTCTCTCTCTCCCTCTGCCCCTCCAAAGAATATAATTTTAAAAATTTAATAAAAACTACATCCATGAAATAATCACTGTGATGACCTTTACGGTAACAAATTAATGACTTAAAATACCCAAAATTAGAGGTATGGTTTTTAATAAATTACGGTACATCTATTCAGTGGAGTGTTACACAGCATTAAAAATTACGAAGGGGTGCCTGCGTGGCTTAGATGGTTAAGCATCTGCCTTCGACTCAGGTCATGATCCCAGGGTCCTAGGATCGAGTCCCGTCATCGGGCTCCCTGCTCCTTGGGAGCCTGCTTTTCTCTCTCATGAATAAATAAATAAAATCTTTTTAAAAAATTATGAAGACCATGTAAATGTGAAAAATGTTTGATGTTTTGGGACACCTGGGTGGCTCAGTCGGTTAAGACTCTGCCTTCGGCTCAGGTCATGAACCCAGAGTCCTGGGATCTGAGCCCTGCATCAGGCTCCCTGCTCATTGGGGTGTCTGCTTTTCCCTCTGTCCCTCCCTACACTCGTGTTTGCTCTCTCTCTCAAATAAATAAAATCTTTAAAAAAAGAAAAATGTGTGATGTTTCAAAAGGGAAAGGTTTTAAGAAACAGGAAAAGGGTGTTTTTTCCCCCCTCAAAAATGCATGAATGTAGACTAGGAACAGAAGGCAGGCAAAAATGAAAACTGCCCTGTTGATTATTGATCATTGTTTACTAATTTTATTTTTTTACTAATTCACCCAACAAATATTCACTGAATGCTTACTATTTGCTAGGCACTATTATAGGTGCTTGGGATGCATCAATGAACAAAGCAAAGATTCTTGCCCTCAGTTGTGCTTACCTTCTAGTAAGACAAAAAGACACGTAATTAAAGTACATAGTACTTAATGAGAGGTAAATGCTATTAGAAAATAAGAGAAACTGGGGCAAAGTGTATAGGGAGTGAAAGGGGTAAGACTGCAATTTTAAAAAAGATTTTATTTGTTGATGTGAGAGAGAGATCACGAGCAGGGGGGAGGGGTAGAGGAAGCAGCAGACTTCCCGCTGAGCAGGGAGCCTGATGCAGACTCCATGCAGGACTAGATCCAGGACCCTGGGATCATGACCTGAGCTGAAGGCAGAAGCTTAACCAACTGAGCCACCCAGGCGCCTGGTAAGACTGCAATTTTAAACAGAGCTGAGGTTAAGCCTCACTGGAAAGTTGACACTTAAGCCAAGACTTGAATCTTATTTGTATCGTTTCATCAATCTTATTAAATAAAAATCCACCACCAGAAGTCAGTTAACATTTATCCTTCCAGTCACGGATTTATTTGCATGTACTCTAAATGAAATACTATAAAAACTATTTTGCAACTTGCCTTTTCTACTTTATTACATGATGAGAGCTCTTATGTCACTCAATCTTCTACATTTTTCTTCTCCTACATTAATTTTTAATGGATGCAGTATTCAGCTGTCAACCAAGCACCTATTGTGTTGGACACTTGGGTTGTTTCTATTTTTTCACCATTATTTATAAACAATGTTCACAGCTACATCTTGGGCACATCCATGAGTAAATATTCCTCCCACAATATCCATTTTTACTTATTTACCTTCCAAAACATACATTATCATGTCAATATAATGCTGCTATACTGCACCATTGTATGTTCAGTTTTTCTTCACTTCTATGTCAACATAATTATAATTTTTAACAGCTACACAAAGTCCATGTGGATATATACTAACTTACTAAACTACCACCTACTATGAGACATTTAGGTTGTTTTCACCTTTTTCCTATTAGAATGATGCAGTAAATATCTTCTTGCTTATAGCTCTTTTTAACTATTTCCTTATAATAAATTCTTAAAATTAAAATAATTGCATCTATCTTTATTACTCTTACCCATGGTGCAGCATTTTTTCCTCTAAAAAAAAGGGAAATCATGTTTCTAAAAATAAGACATAAAAACAGGAAATTAAAACATACAAAATTTATGAAGTCTACCCCAGCAACAGGTGGGGATGGGGTTAGGCTGGCATTAGAATCAGATCTTTAACTATCTGAGTCCCAGCTATTAAACACCTCCCTTCCCTGACTCCACACTGGCCTATAGCTGAAACTTGAGTTATCTTCACAGCCATTTCTCCAACTAGGTCTTCTTACCTTCTTACCCCTGGCTAGAATCCAAGGAACCTTTTTTTTCTCCAGCCTTTAATTTGGGAGTCAGTGGCCCCAGCCTCAGTATCTTGCATCCCATTCAGAAATCCACAATTTATATTTACACATTAATAAAAATCCTCAGAGTTCCACTCAAACTGAAATATTAAAAACTCTGTATATACATCTTAACCAAACTTCACCACTCCTTTTCAAAAAGGCCATTTTACAACTTCTTAGTAGAAATGATCTACCTCCTTGAAGAAAAAGTGCTAGGATGTTCTAAACCATGTAAGAGAACTTCAAGGGAGGTTATTTTTGGTTTTAGAAAGTGTAGCCTGGTAGTTAAGATGATAATATCAGATATTTACCAATCATTATATGCCAGGCACTGCGCTAAGTCTGCATTATCTCACTTAGTGCCCAAAACTTACTCTCCTGGATAAGAAAACTGATGCCCATCTAAGGTTACCCAAATGTGATGGGGCAAGGAGTGGAACTCACATCCATTTAATTCTAAAGCTCATTCTTCATCACTAAGCTACAAGCTTAGTAATCAAACTCAGCTTGATTTCAAAGTTCAGAGTCCAACAAACTGACTAGCCATGTCACCTATCTTCTGAGCCTCAGTTTCCTCACCTGTAAGGAGGGGGTAACAACGGCAACTTCACAGGGCTGGTTATTTTAAGGACTAAATGAGATTGTGTACACAGCACATGTTCCTGCTGGCAACCACTATCCGTATTTCTGCATTCAGTTGGTGCTGTAGTTAGACAAATATCATTAATTACATTCTTCCTCCTCTCTTTTGGATTCTAGCAAAAATCATTTTTTACAATCAAATTGCCTTTGTGTTTTTGAATAAATGTCTCCATAGTGCTAATCTTTACAATCCTTCCTTCCAGTTTACTCTTTCCCAAGAAGGCATTCAATGGTGAAGACTAAATAATATTGTATAAAACACTTAAAACAGTGCCCACAAAGTAGCAAGTACTCAGTTAATACTGTCCCTATCACTTATTTCTGATGATGACCACCAACATAATATGGAAATACGTGCAGAAATCTCTTGTGAGCAATAAATTCACTGCCCCTTAACCACTGGGCCTCTAAGAACTAAGCACAAAGATCAGCATCAAGGATTTGTCTATCTGTCCCAAAGACTAACCCTGATGAAGGATTTTTCTTGAGAGAAAGTATGTACTGCTGGTTTAGAAAGACTGGGGCTACTGGACACAGTACGACTGCATAAATGTGGTTTAGGTACAAGACCAAACACTGCATCACACATTGAAATCAGTTTTCAGGAAAAGGATCAACTTTTTAAGTGGAAGCTGGTGGGGCGGGGGGCGAGGGGGAGAGAGATCTGGTAAAAATCTACCGACCTAGATGGCTGCATGGATATGCACCTGCCTGAAAGCTGTAGAATGCACTGATATGGTAAGGTACTTTTTCAGGCGTTTCTTTCATTTAATAGTAAGTTGGACAAAGACACAGCATAAAGCTAGCCAGTGCCCCCCACAAGAGTTGCCAGATTTATCAAATAAAAATACACAACGTAGAGTTAAATTTGAAATTCAGACTTCAAAAAATTATCTTTTAGTATTTAAGTCCCATGCAACATATACTAAAAATACTTTGCTGTCTATGTGAAATCCAAAATTAACGGGGCGTCCGGTATTTTATCTGGCAACCCTACCCCGTACACCTACCTCAACTTCGGTTGAAGATAGCAAAGTACCTCCAAGTCGTCTCTAACCTCAACTTCTCCGTTAAGAACACAAAGAAAGGTTTCAGTTGACAACGATAGTTTCCCCAAGCGGGAGATACCCAACAGGAAATCCATAAAATTAATTTTCATTTAAAAAAAAGTGATGCTTTAAATGGGTCGAGTAGCTAGGCAACAAGACAAAAAAAAAAAAAAAAAAAAGACAGGAACCAGACTAGGGAAGCCGCGGGGTCTGGACTAGCAGATGAACTTCCCAGCTTAGAGTTTTGACAAAGAAACATCGCTGGGGGGGGGGGGGATTTCTCATTCTGAATTAATGGCCTCGCGAGGCTGAGAGGAGGAGCGCCAACAAAGCGCCTCCTCCTCCAGCCGCGACTTCAGGGTTCTCGGATAATAGACCCCACACCCTCGGGCCCAGGGCGGCTAAAGGGCCGGGGAACTTACTGACAGGGATCAGAATCGAAGATGAGTCGCACAAAGAAACGGGGCGGGAAAGGCAACTGGAGCCAGGTTAAAGCAGAAAGCAAGGCGAACTGAGAGCGATGGGCCCCTGCGGGTGGGCTGAGAAGGCCGTGTGGCGGCGGGGACAAGGCCTCAAGGGGCCTTGGAAAGAACGGCCAACCTCCCTCCAAACCTAGCCTCGCCCTAGCCTCTTGTCGCAAAAAAATCCTACTTCCCTCTCAAACAAGAACTAAGTCGTCCCAAAACTCACCCTCTACCGACTGTTCTCTCCTCAGAGTAACGGCGACGCTACACGGCCTCTACCGTCCCGAGAAAAGAGCGCGCGACCGCCGGAAACGAGACGACGGAGCTCGGTGCCTCCCAAGGGGTACAAACTGGTGTTCTTGATTGGTTATCTGACTTGCCAATCAAGGTTTATCTCCAGAGGCGGAATCCTTTTTCCGCCATTTCTTCAATCCTATTGGCTACCGAACGCAAAAGATCTGAGTTCGTGTGAACGACAGATGGGGACAAAGAGCGAGGCTTTCTACTTAATGCGCATGCGCAAGTTTCCATCCGCTCGAGACGGAAAAGGAAGGGGGAGGGGATAAAGAGGTAGGGAGGGGGATGGAGGGTGGGAAGGAGAGACATCAGCGGGCTAACGGAAAGACTGAAAAACCAAGTGATGGCAAAGGCAAAGGAGAGGGCAAAAAAGGAGAGAGAGGGAAGTGGAAAGAGAAGGCGAGAAAACGTGCGCGTAGGCTGCTCTGAGAACTCCTGCACTGCGCCTGTGCAAGAGGCAAGAGTAACAATGTCATTGTATTCCGTGTGGTAGATCTAGCCTTTTCCTTCCGAAAAAATGCCCCGCCATGTTTCTTTTTTCACACTTCCTCATTAGGGCTTGCCCTCTGACACTCCATACTTAACATTTCTAGTTGCTTCTGCTGCCAGGTCTACTCATGAAGCCCAACTGAAACAGTAATCACTATGGCTGTGGTTGTGGTTATAGTTACAGAAAGGGGTGGGGGAGAGGACGGGGATTGATAACTTAGTTTCTGTGATTAAACACAATTGTAACCACCTATTTCTATGGTAACCAGGGAACCCAGCAGTCCAAACACCACTGTTGCTCCTGTGATTCACAAAGAGATTCAACAGGTGTCATTATTGCCATGGATACATCGTAGGCCTCCAGATCAGACTGATTCCATATTCTGTAGGATGCCAATCAGGTAGGCGCCTTCATTTTTCTGTAATGCCAAACTAGCCGTGTGGTTAATCAAGAGCTACAAGGCTCAACTGATAGGTGTTTGTCGTTCGTTCCCACTAATTAATTCAGACCCAGGGTTTCAGGGTGTCCCAACTGGTGCCTCATTATGTGGGGACACAGTGATCTAGACCTGCACTGTCCAGTAGGAACTTCTGCAAGGATAGAAATGTTATTTGCTCTGTTCAGTACAGTAACTACTGGCTATACATATGTGGCCATTGAGGGCTTGAAATATGATTAATGCAGCTGAGGGACTGAATTGTTAATTCAATTTAATTTTAATTAGCTAAAATTTAAATACTCACGTATGGCTAGTGGCTACCATATTGGACATTTCTAGACCAATTGTTCCCAAACTTTTTGAGAATGAGTAACACCTCTATTATGACAACAGAAATATTACCTCTATTCTGAAAAACGTTTTTTCCCCTGCTCATGGAAAAAAAAAATTAAACAATACCCAGGAGTATAAAGAGAAAAGTCTCTCCCTCTGGTTACAATTATGACCACTTTCTTGTACTTCTATTTTCTATGTTTGTACTTACCCAGTCAAAAAGAAATGTTTATACTTTTTTATACACATAGGATTAAGCTAAGCTATACATACTTTTCTGAGCCATGACTTTCTCACTTTAAAAAATACTTTAGCTCTCCTTCCATATAAATGCCTAAAGATCTATGAGGACTTTTTAATATAAAATATTTTATAGACACACACATGATGGTTTTTAGTGTCTCTTGAGTGAAAAAAATACAAATTATAGAAAAGCTACTATGGATTCTTCGGTAACATTTTTTTAAAGATTTTATTTATTTGACACAGAGAGAGAGCACACCACATCATCTTTATCTTTATGGGGGGTGGAAGGCCGAGGGAGAGGGAGAAGCAGGCTCCCTGCTGAGCAAAGAGACCGCTGCGGGACTGGATGTGCCCCTGGATTCAGTAACATTTTAATGAATGTATACTTTGTTAAAAATCACAACAGCTGTTTATGTTGGAAAATATTTGGTAACAAAATAAAAGGAAGATTGTTGTACTTGCACGTATCTCAAGGCAATCACAACATAAACAGAGAAATGGTGATGTAAACAAATAATTGCAATACTGTAGGCAAATAAAATAATAGCACTAGAGGCACCTGGGTGGAGCTCTCTGCTCAGCGGGAAGCCTGCTTCTCCCTCTCCCTCTGCCTATGGCCTGCTTGTGCTCTCTCTGTCAAATGAATAAATAAAATCTTAAAAAAAATAATAGCACCATATTAGAGGTAAAGTGGTAACTCGAAGGTAGCAAGGTTCTACATGAGTGGATCAGGAATGGCTTCACAAGAAAGAACACTTTTGAATTGGGTCTTAACCAAGAGGTTGAAGTCAGACCAATTTACAATGGATCAGAGGCAGAATGACCTATGTTTTAGGTAATTCGGCCTGGCTGAAGAAAAATGGGAAGGCTAAGGGATAGGAAATTAGGCTAGGGAGATAGGCATAGGCCAAATAATTGAGGGCCTGTGCTGTGCTTAGAAGTTTGTACTTTACTCTGTAAGTAAAGTGGGGAGACTTTGAAGATTTTTCTAAAATAATTTATGGGGTTTTTTTTTTAAAGATTTTATTTATCTATTTGAGAGAGAGAGCGTGAGCAGGGTGAAGGGCAGAGAGAGAAGCAGACCCTCTGCTGAGCAGGGAGCCCAATATGGGACTCGAGATCATGACCTGAGCTGAAGGCAGATGCTTAACCAACTGAGCCACCCAGGTGCCCCAATAATTTATGTTTTTTAAAAAAGATTTTTATTTATTTATTTATGTCAGAGAGAGAGAGAGAGAGAGCACAAGCAGGGGAAGCAGCAGGCTCCCCGCTGAGCAAGGAGCCAGACATGGGACTGGATCCCAGGACCCTGGGATCATGACCTGAGCTGAAGCCAGATGCTTAACTGATTGAGCCACCCAGGTGTCCCTATGTTGTTTTTTTTTCTCTGATTATAAAAGTAATCTATGCTTATTGAGGGCAAAACTCAAAAACAAGAGTATAAAAAAATCATCATAATCCCATTATGGAGAAATCACTGTTAACATTTTAGTATATTTTCTTCCAGACTATCACAGATAGACAAGCATGCGTGTGTGAGCGCCTCTGTGTGTGTGTGTATTTATGTATTTATGTATGTATGTTTTTTTTATAGAGAGCGAGAGAGACAAAGAGACTGAGAGATGAAGGGAATAAACTTTTTCTATGTATGATAGGTTTGAACCTCAGAAAGATCACTGTAGTACTGTCCTTGTTTTGTTTCTTAAATTCCACATATGAGTGAAATCATATGGTATTTATCTCTCTCTGACTGGCTTATTTTGCTTAGCATCACACTCTCTAGATCCATCCATGTCGTTGCAAATGGCAAGATTTCATTCTTTTTTATGGCTGAATAATATTCCAGTGTGTGTGTGTGTGATATACCACATCTTCTTTATTCATTTATCTATCAATGGACACTTAGGTTGCTTCCTTATCTTGGCTATTGTAAATAATGTAAAATGTTGTAAAAAAATTACCACAGAGTCGGTGGCTTAAAATAATAGAAATGTATTCTCTCACAGTTCTGGAAGCCAGAGTCTGAAATCAGTATCACTGGGATGAAATCAAGGTGTGGGCAGGGCCGTGATTCTTCAGGATCTCTTAGGAGGCTCTAGGAGAGAGTGAGTCTTGTCTCTTCCAGTTCTTGGTGGCTGCCAGCATTCCTTGGCTTGTTGGCACATCACTCCAATTTCTGTATACGAATGTTTATAGCAGTACTATTCATAATAGCTAAAAGGTACATCAACTGATAAATAGATAAGCAAAATATGATATATCCACATACAGCAGAATATTTTTCAGCCATAAAAGGAATACATTCTGATACATGCTACAACATGGATGGACCTTGAAAACATTATGCTAAGTGAAAAAGCCAGTCACAAAAGACCACATATTATATGATTCCATTTATATGAAATGTCCAGAATAGGTGAATCTATGGAGACAGAAAGTAGAATGGTGCTTACATAAGGCTACAGGGGGTGGGTGGATGGGAGAATATAGCTTAAGAATACAGACTTTCTTGGATGCCTGGGTGCTCAGTTGGTTGGGCGTCTGCCTTCAGCTCAGGTCATGATTCCAGGATCCTGGGATCAAGTCCCATGTCCGGCTCCCTGCTCAGCTGGGAGTCTGCTTCTCCCTCTGCCCCTCCCTCCCTGTTCGTGCTCACTCTCCCTTTCTCTCTGTCTCTCTCTCTCTCAAAAATAAATAAAATCTTAATAAAATAAAAGAATACAGACTTCCTTTTTTTAAAATGATGAAAATGGGTGGGAATGCAAACCAGTGCAACCACTGTGGAAAATAGTATGGAGGTTCCTCAAAAAATTAAAAATAGAACTACCCTACAACCTAGTAATCACACTACTGGCTATTTACCCCAAAGATACAAAGGTAGTGAACTGAAAGGGTATGTGCACCCCAGTGTTTATAGCAGCAATGTCCACAATAGCCAAACTATGGAAAGAACCCAGATGTCCATCGACAGATGAATGGATAAAGATGATGTGGTGTATATATACACACACACAGGAATATTATGCAGCCATCAAAAAGAGAAATCTTGGGACACCTGGGTGGCTCAGTCAGTTAAGCATCTGCCTTCAGCTCAGGTCATGATCCTGGGGTCCTGGAATCGAGTCCCGCATCAGGCTCCCTGCTCTTTGGGGAGTCTGTTCTCCCTCTCTCTCTCTACCCCCTCCCCCCTGCTTGTGCTCTCTCTCTCTCTGACAAATAAATAAATAAATAAAATCTTTAAAAAAAATGAAACCTTGCCATTTGCAATGACATGGATAGAACTAGAGGGTATTATGCTCATAAGTGAAATAAGTCAATCAGAGAAAGACAATTATCATATGATCTCACTGATATGTGGAATTTAAGAAAGAAAACAGAGGATCATAGGGGAAGAGAGAAAAAAGTGAAACAAGATGAAACCAGAGAGGGAGACAAACCATAAGAGACTCTTGAATCTGAGGAAACAAAGTGAAGGTTGCTGGAGGGGAGAGGGATGGGGGAATGGGGTAACTGGGTGATGGACATTGGGGAGGGTATGTGTTGTAATGAACACTGGGTATTATATAAGACAGATGA